TGTGTTATACTTGTATAACTATGCATGTGACAAATAAAGAACCTTGAACCTTAATGAGACAACAACTCATCTCCCAAACCCTGGCTGAACCTACAGATTGTGTCCATAAACGTTATGGACACAATCAGTGGTACAGTCCACATTAACTGGCAGAGTCAAACACTTACAGGGATCTGGTGGCCCATAGCAACAATGCACCTCTCAAAGGGCATCCCAAGGGATACAGTATATGCCTTTTCTGTGTTTACAAAGTACATTTGCTTAAGAACCAGTGAAAGGGATGAATGGATGGTCTGGTGTTTTGCAACCATTAGATAAAAGCCTCCTTTATCTTTCTCAAATCTGAGCTTTGACTGATGCTTGTTTTATGCTTTGAGTGGGTGTAGCTCAAAGGTAGTCCGCAGACACTCATGGACTTTGTCTATAGTTTTCATGCTGTAATTTTTTATCTTTAAAGTTTGTTTCAGGCTTCTCCCATTTCCAGTGAACTTCGCTCTTGCTAGATTTAATGTTCCAGTAGTATCTGCTCTGCAGTCATAACAAGCTCATCGAATTCTGTAAATACTAAGAAAAGACGCTTCAGTGCTTCCTTCACTAACTCCTTTAGCGTAGGACACTGGATCATCCTTTATGAAAGTAGAAAATGACATGATCCATAATCATACACCATCATCAAGCTGAAGTGGCATAGATAGTTTAAATGTTAACTTTGAAACTGTAAACTATGAAACTACTAAACTACTACACTGCAGTTGTACATTAGTTGTACTGCCTACCTTTAGGATGATCGGTTTTTGATCATTTTTTCTTCTGGTCAGCTTCAGTGCCCCCCGCCCATGCACATTTAGTAGTTCATTTTTGGGACATTGTAGTCTAAACACAGCAAACATTCATCATCACATCTTTTGTGGAGGCGCAGTCAGATTTTCTGAGCTCAAAGGTTCTCTGTTCCTCATAAAGTCCCCATTTAGATCAGCTCAGCAGCAGAAAGTTACAGAACTCATCCACCAGAACGCTCCTAAACAGTTTAATAGATTATTTTGTTTGTTTGTTTTGAACTGTTTCTGTATTTGATTGATTTTGCACTTGACCCATGCTGCTCAGCAGTCTGATTAAAATCACATGTATTGTTACAGCAAAAAGAAATCTAATGGTCATCTGCAGCTAATGGTCTGTTGAGGCTATGGAGATCCTATCAGTACACCATTGTCCTATCTCTATTAAAAGCCTAGGCTCTTGGACAACATGAGAAGCTAGGCAGTCAGCCAGAAACACTTATCATCCTGTCATCTATTTTTCACTAGCTTTACAGCTCAGCTGTACTTCACAGTGAGCATCTATGAGAGCTTGGCGATTCGGGACCATCAAAGCGATCTTAATCTGTGTGAATCTGAATAGATTTGGCACCAGAAAAAATAAAATGCTGTGTCCCAATTTGTGATAAAAAATAAACACAAAAAACAGTGTTTTGCTAAGGTTCATATATTTTCTGAGCAGTAAAAAGGTATAAAATAGCTTTATTGAGGAACTCCTTTAGATCATACATCAAAAGTCACCTATGAGGGACATAATCAGACAATAAGTCCTTCTGTCTAAAAGGATTCAGTAAGTTAATCCATGCCAAAATCATAAAGAATTCTTATTTCTTTTTTTGAAATGATGACATATTGCTGGCACTGGAGATTTAAGTATGCGGAGCGGGAGGGTCCACTCTCAGCAAAAGCAATGAACATGAGGGGACTGACTGGACTGACAGTGGGGACAAAAGTTTGACTGTCTTGACACTGACACCCAAGATTGCACCTACTCGAGATCTTGGCTCAAGAGTTGGCAGTTCGTTTTGTAATCGGAAGGTTGCTGGTTCGAGCCCCGGCTCAGACAGTCTCAGTCATTGTGTCCTCGGGCAAGACACTTCACCTGTTGCCTACTGGTGGAGTCAGTGCACCCCAGGGCAGCTGTGGCTACAATGTAGTTGCCATCACCAGTGTGTGAATGGGTGGATGACTGAATGTAGTGTAAAGCGCTTTGGGGTCCTTAGGGACTGAGTAAAGAGCGATACAAATACAGGCTATTTACTCCACCCAGCCAGGGGGGAAAGGGGGGATGTATGTTTTTACAGGAGGAGGAGAGGATGAAGGCGACATCCTAGTTTGGCGTGAGCTTCTGACCCATGCAGATCTTTTAGTTGCCACAACATTGCTATCAATACATTTTTCAATCCCTCTGCAAAATGGGTTCAAAAACATAAACAACTGTTGGATGCTGTTTGTCCGTGATTTGAACCGGGGGAACAAATTGTGGCAGGATCAGCCTGATGTTATTTGTATCCCACTGTAACTTTACTGTATAAAGAGCTAACATCTCCAAAATGTCAGGAGTAGTTAGTCATTACAACAAGTGTTTGTGAACTAAAAATCAAGAATGTGGGATCCTGTTTGTCCGTGATTTGAAGAACCCAGCACATGCTCCCTACGAAGGGAAAACCAATTCTGCAGGGAGACCTACATCGGCACTTGTGCAGGTGAAACCAAAGGGAAGATATACTTCACCATATTTTCTAGTCTTTGGCTTAGAATGAAGTTGGTTTGGAAACATATTCAGCGATGCTTCATCTCCTGATTTGTGTTTGTGGAGGCGCCCGTGCTAGCAGTGTCCAAGCTTTGTATTTTTTTGTTTTGTTTTTTCCTTTTCATACCGTGCCCCCCGTGCAATGGCGGGCCCCACACTTTGGGAAGGTCTGAGCTATAGGAACATGTGCCATGGTTTGAATGGGGGCACCACTGGTCTGATAGGATAGGATAGACTGGTTAAGGTGGGGACCACTAATGCTGGTACGCTGACGCAGAGGCGTAGACACCAAGTGCTAGCACGTAGGTCAGTGGGGAATTTAGACCCAACTTTAGGGCCACTTATATAGACGCTTTAGGAGGGCCCAGAGGGGTCCCTAATAAATACCAGGTAGCATCAGGTTTTGAAAACATACCAGTCCTTTCAGCTTTCTTTACAGCCACACCAAATAAAAATGTAGATATGATTAACTATGTCCATTACGATGTTAATATTAAGGCTTGCCAATTTGACTAGGGATGCAATTGAGGGATTAGCTGAGCAGGTGGCTCCTACCTCTCTGATGGCTGTACAAAATAGGATGGCTCTTGATATGCTGTTGGCTGAAAAAGGGGGTGTCTGTGCAATGTTTGGAGACATGTGCTGCACATTCATTCCAGACAACACGGCCCCTGTGACCAGAGCCCTGGAGGGACTGAGAACATTATCCAAGGAAATGCATTAACATTCAGGGGTGAACAATCCTCTGGAGGAGTGGATGACTCCGGTGTTTGGGCAGTGGAAAGGGTTTATTTTGTCAATCATGGTGCAAGATAGATGTTGTTGCTCAAAAGTTAAAAACTGCTCGACATTGGGGATGTGAAACTATGTGTAGGCCAGTGGAAACGGAAGAGCACAAAACAAGTGTTAAAATTAAAGATAAAAACCATAAAGCAAATGAGACGTGTTGAAACATAAAGGTTAAGAACTAGGGTGCGGGGCACAACGGAATTTCCACTGCCATGTGGGTGGGATGACAGTGATAAACATGTTGTGATTGGCTGACTGGGGGACTGCACTCACTCTCCCTGTTGGCAAGGAGGGGTGTAATGAAAAGATATAAAATAGCTTTATTGAAGAAATGCTTTAGATCATACATCAAATCATTCTCTAAATCATACTTTAGAACTTACTCTGTGCAGCTTAGAGTTTGATGTGTGTGATCTCCATATGCATATGCTTTGCTGAGAGTTGAAGTTGGACTTCACGTCTCCGACTGACTTCTTGCCATCAAAAGAATCGGGTGAAGCCGGCGTGCTTCGACAGCAGCAACCATGTCATGGATGTATTACTTATAACTAAAAACTTAGACTGGTTTTCCTTTTCCTATATATTATAACCAAAGTATTTAGGACTAGTGTGGCTAGATGTTGAAGTTAATGCCAGTGATCTCTCTTGTAAGCACTGTACATTGGGTATTTTACATATCAAAGACTTATCAAATTTATAAAACCACCACCCAATCTAACGTTTATGCCACAAGTGCCCTAAAACAGCATTATTGGTAATTACCCAAATCTTTGTTTATTTTTATGTAATAGTTAATCCACCAACATGTGCAAAATCTTTAATCAAAATTAGATTTTTGCTACAATATAATTATTGCTGTTATCTGTGAATTTTCAAATTAACTCTTTTATTTTAAAAAAGGGAAGCAGATTAATACTTTTTCATTAAAATGCCAAATTACAGTTATTTAATTGTATTCACAAACCGGAAAATTTGTTTTGGTGACTGAATATTATACTTCGTTAATTTCTGACTTCTCAGTGCAGTCCAGGTCAAATTTGGGTCAAAACAAAAATCACAAATTCAGTTTGTTATTTGCCTAACAACATTATTTTTTCTCTTTCTATGACAAAGTCTAATATATTTGTTAAGCACTGTACAACGTGTAGGAAATGACAGTGTTTAATTTTACATTGTCTGGCAGGAAAGCCACTTAAATAAAACATGAAAAAGCAGTCATTCGGTAGTGAGCACAAATGAGTGAGCACAAGTTTAGCTTTATTCAACCCAAGGGTTGGAAAATCCTTGAATTATAGCAGATAAAAGCAGGAAGCCAATAACAAAACAGCTTAAATAAAACAGAATAGTTCAACAAAATGTAATATGACAAACCAATGAAGGAACTTCTTTAAAAGGGAAAAAGTATAGAATGAAACACCAGCTATTGATATAATAGGACATTTAATATTGGGTGGGTGGAGAAAACATTTCACATTATATTATTCTATCTCCAGTTTAAGCTTGACTATTAAAATCATTATCTATGGCATTAAGTTAATGAATTTTGCATAGACTGTATGATGCTGTTGGCAGATCCCTGAGCAAAATGATACTTTATGACTGAAAATATAGGAATGTGCATGTAATGGTAGAAATATTAAGTCATTAGCATAGCAGTAGTGCTCTTTTAGGCAAGTTTTTGCATACAGGGAATACTGGTACATAGAGTCATTACACTGAACATATGGTGTTTATTTTCTAGGCACAATCATGACTGTTCAGCTTGTTTTGTTGCAGCTCTAAATGAAGATGTGTCAGCACATTCAACTTGTGTTGCTATGGGCAGAGTTTGTTTGACATTGAGGGGAAAAAAAGACCAAAGCATCTTTGGTTTGGTTTAGTTAACAGCAGTTTAAAAAAAAAAGAAAGAAAGAAAAAACAGTGATGCAGCTCGTTGTATTTCTAAAATTTAATGCTGAAACATGCTTTGTAACCAAGAGCATTTATTTTTATTTTAAAAAATGAAAGGGAAAAGCTTTCATGTGCTTCCTGCCTCAGTGACTGGGTGTTTAGCAAACCAATTAAGGAATCTGCTAATTTCTTCATAGAGTAGATTTTATCAGCATTTTTCAGGTTTCTCCCAAAATGAGAGACTGATTGAGAGACAGTGAGGCTCTGTGATGTCTGAGGAGTCTGAGGCGAAAATTTAGTAATATGCGAATATTCAGTTATATCTAACATTCATTATCAACTGTTATTTTTAAAATAACACTTCGTTATGCTGGTGAAACACAATGGTGAACAGTAAGGCAGCTCACTATAAGCTCAGTGTAACCACTGCATAAATTTATAAAATGCAAATGGTACACCTTCAGCTCCTCTGCACAGGCCATTGAGAAATAAAGGTATGATGTAATGCTGCCGCCTACTGGCAGAAACAGACACAGCATATATCATGGTAGAGACCTTTTACCATTATATAAGCGATAACAAGAAATTACGTCATGCATCATCCAAATCAAATCACATCAAATTACAGTCAGGTAAATACTGGTGAGGTATAATAGTTTGAGAAGGACTTTGTTTTGAATAACTGAAAATAAACGAGTTCATCATTTCACACATAAAACAGTGACAGCGCAGTTATTCGATCAGTATCTTTAATAATTAACCAATGACTGTTTGGCTGGCTGACGGACCTTTATTTCCTTAAAGGAAACAGAAGCTCTGCTCCGTGCTGGTGAGGACCGCAGCTCTAGAACAGCAGAAACACATCCGTCAAAAGTGCAGCTACAATTACACTGGTGTATTAGTTCTGTTTTGTGCATTAAGTTATTCAGCACCACAGAAAGAAATACTTAAATTAAAAAAAACACATTAACTTTAATAGCTACTTGTATATAAGCAGTGTTTTTTAAAGCAGCTGCTGTGCAGGCAACAGCTGGATGTAACAGTTTCCTGGTATACATTTCCACTGCAAGCAACCAAGACCCAGCTATTCCACCACTGAAGGACACGTGTCAATATTTACCTCCCAAATTTACTGTAGCCAACTGGTGCATTCAACATTCTTACAAAATCAATTTTCTCTTCAGCTCACTTTTGCAAAAATAAACAAACAAATAAACAAAAGTAGAGAGTTTGTGCATACTTAAGGTATTGCCTTCAGGTGAACAGGTGTCAGAGCACTTATCCATCTGGCTTTGTGGAACAAGATTGTGGGGAGCTGGATGGCTTCACTTTAAAACGTCCTGTACTCAAAACAGGGCATTGTCAAAAAAAGCAAATTTCTACACAAATAAATTTGATTTATTCCCCTTTGCAAGTGTTTTGACCCTGCTCTCTTATTTTGTCTCCAACACAAAAAATAATGATTGTAATCTCTTAACTGGCCGTACTGAAAATCATGCAGTTATTATATCTACTAGCATTTCCCTAATGCAATATGCCAGAAATATGTCACCTCCTGATAATCTATTTAGCTCTTTGTATTTATGAATCTTAATGTGAGACACAACGCTACTTAATCATGGATGACCTACCAGGGTTGAGAATTCTCTCTGCAGCTTTGTGCTCGAGGTGCCTGCGGAGGATGTTTTCTGCCTTCCTCTGGTTTGTGCTTATATCAGGCACAGCCTTGATTTCTGTTGCTGTCAGGTTGTTCTTGATGGCTTTTGAAGCTGTGGAGCGAGCCAGGCTGGGAAGTAGGTTCTGGTATTCTTCATCGGTGAAGTCTGGCTCTGGGCTCTCTACATCACTGACTCTTAAACGGGAAACACAATATATGTTATGGTTCTTTGTCACATCGCTTTGACTGCTAAACAAATATTTGTGAGAGTTGCAATAGTATTGTTCTGGATCTTTTCAACATCATTAGCATTAATAGTTACATGTGTAGTCACATATTTGTAGTTCCATATACAAAAAAACGCAAAAATTTATTTTTAAAGATGAATATTACATCAGATATAAAGCTGCCAACATACCTCCCTTTACTTAAAATAGTGTAAACTTCCAGCACCAACAGCTCAGCTGCTCCTGGTTTACAATGGATTGTTCCATCAATGGCCTCCTTCTTCAAGTACAGATTCCGCTTCTCTAAAGACTGAATCAATAAACTTTGTAGATTATATTTAAACACTTGAATGGAGAAGGAAACCACTTTACGATTCAGTTAACACAGGCACTGTGGGTAGTGAAAATGTCACATCCCAGTGGGACCTCAACACAGGGCTGGACTGGTAAATCTGGCATACCGGCTGTACAAGCACTGACAACAGCCCATTCATTTATTTTCAATACTGACACTGGATTGCCCAATCAATCTCTTAATGTGACCAGCCCATCCCCTTCGCTGTGTGGAAGAAGTGGTGAAAAGGTGAAGCTGAAAGAAAACAATAAAAAGAAATTAAAAACAACCAACATGTTAGCTGTCGGGGCTGCTGCTCCGCCATGAACCGGGAACAACTAGTAACCAATCTTCAGTTACAGCACGCTGTTGCTGCAAGTGCCTGCTGTGGAGAAGTGAGGGGGAGATGGAGGTAGATGAAATTGACGTGGTGAGAAAATAGATGGAGGGACATCATAAGGAAGGAACTTTGACCACGAGCCATTGCTAATAGCTGAAGTTTAGCTTTTAACTGTACCAACTATTTAAGTCCACGTCCAGCCCTGCTTCAACATATGTATTTAAGGCTCCATGCTGTTTGTGTGTCTGTGCCCCTGGTGTATTGCAGATCATCCAAAACATTTATTTATGACACTTGCAGTAGCAGTAGCCTGCAACAAGTAAGAGAAACTTGAACTTGTATTATTTAAACACCAAACTGTACCTGGAAGATGCATTTCAGTGACATGCCAACTGTAGCGAATAAAAAAAAGCATTTCTTCGTGGCTCATTATATTTTTGAATATTTTGCTCTGCTCACCCGCTCTATCTGGCTCCAGTTCCACTGTTTGGCAGAAAGCGATGTTCCTCTGTCGTATGAGTGCAATGAAAAGTCTCGGGGGTAATAATGAGAAAATATCTGTGCCACAAGGTAGCCGCTGGAAAAATCTCTGGAAATGAAATACAGAAATAACAATATGCACTTTCTGGCTCTACCAGTGGAATTTGTCTTAGCACTTGGTTATTCCTTGTCATAGCAGATTTATTGTTATCCTTGCATTTTCCTTCTTTTTTAATCAACCTCACATAATCCTGCTCCTTTTAAGTTGGTTATTCGCTTCATATTTTATGGATTGTAAGTTTGTGTTTAAATGAGGAAACGGAAAAAAACGGGCCACGTGGTAGTTCAGAATTTGGATATGCTGTATATAAATTAGGAAATTGATACAAACACAGTTTACAGTGTGCTGGAAATTGGGTGGGTGGGTGTGAGGGGGAGGTAGATAGATTGAGGTAGATTTTGTGTGGTGATATTGTATTGATACAGGGACACCAAATATCACTTTAATTTAATTTTAAACAAATTAAAATATTCTGGAATTACTACGAGGACTCACCTCACGCACCACAACCCTGAGATAATGATAGCCAGACAAACTTCAATTAAATTGGCTCAACTCTAAGCCCATCCAACACTGGACACACTTAGCTTGACAAAGCCAGCTCTTTTACACAATTTTCAAACAGCCTCATGCTTTAAAACTTACAAGCTGATGAATGACCTCTTTTTAATTTCAAAGAGACATTTTTCTTCATAAGGTCTGGCCTGCATAGTCCCATCCACTCAGTTTCCTTCTCATTCATGCTGGTTACCATGATTGCTGCAGAAGCACTAAACCACTGTTAGCCAACTAATGAAATTAAGATTGCACTGCAACAACCTATCTTTACCAAACTGTATGAATTTAACTTCCAGTTGATGTGTATCAGTAGAATTCAGCTAAAGGGGGTACATTAATGCCGTAATGGGTACTGTATGTGTGTGTGTGGATTTATATATATCATGAATGTATGTATTGTGCATTCATTTATTCCTCTATTCCTCTTTTCTGCTGAACTAACAGTTCAGCTGCTGTTCTGATCTTCGGGATTCAGAGGTTATCCACAGATCTCCTTTTTTCAGTCACAAGAGTCCAGGAGCTAATAAAAAGTGCGACATTGTGTGCATATATAAAATGTGCAGGCTTAGATACAGCGTGACACTTGGTCACCCTAGTTTTATGTGATTTTTTCTCTTTTTTTATTCTGCAGTTACATGTTTTTTAAGTTAGAAAAAAGATTAAATGGTATCTAAAAATGGTATCTACATTCAATTTAGCTAGCTAACAGTAGGTTAGCAAGAACACAACATAATACTTTTCTAACAATATGCAGGAAAATAGATTTTTTTTTTTTTTTTAAATCGCACATATCTCACATATCTTTTAAATATTCTTCTTCTTTTCTTTTATTCGTATTTGTGATTCACAAAATAGGTTCTGTACCTGCGAACATTTAGGGGATAAAATGCCAAGTCCAGAGTTTGCAGCCACTTGACTACTTCTCTCGGTAGTCCTGTTTTCCTGGGACATTCTGCGAAACATATGCTGCTCCGAGCCATGAAATCTACACGCCAGTGACTTTTCTATCGCTGTTACCAGTCACCTTCATAAATCATGCCGCGATCTGCTTTTTTCTTAAGGAGGGCTAATTGACGAGCTCCTGGCCTGTTTTGTTGAGATTTCTATGACAACGGCACTCTGTGGTGCTAAACGGTGTCGGTAGCGGCGTGCTGCCCTCTAGAGGATGAGCAGTCTGTTTCTTCAGTTATTTATTTATTTGGCTAACATTTGTATAAAGCTTTTAAATAATAGTGCTACCCAATAAATAATACTAGAGCATACAAACTGCATGTAATATAACAATGAAACTGAAATAATTCATTAGAAATACTGAAGCTAAACTCAGATATATGAAATAAAAAATCAAAATACGGCCAAAATATTATGAAACGGCACATGAATATCTTGTTAATAATATGTTAGAGCATGATTTAAAAGTTCCATTCAGCTACACACATTTCCATCTGAGCAGTTGTCAGCGGTCAGTAATCCAAGCTTAAACTTGTCAACTCTTTGAATAACTCCACCACTGAGACAAACATCAGTAACAAATCCACCATGTGGCTGCTGGGAAAGACATATTTGAATGCAACAGGTTTCAAAACAGATTTTTAATAATCTAATGTTTAATGCAAAACAATGAACATTCATTAACATACAGCATATAGTGTGCATTTACACGATATTCTAATCTTTTATGGGGGGGGGGTTTAAATATAAAGTGCAACACTCACTGGCAACTAGTAAGGCATTTTCTAAACACTGCAGAACAGAAAACAAAATATTTATTATTAATGTTATTCAAACAAAATTAACCTAGGGAAAACTAATCCTGGAAGTTTGTTTTAGTGGCATCCTGCTTTACATTTATCCAGGTCCACACATCCTCACATGGGAATCAGGCCAGCTCAACACAGCTGCAGTCAGCTACTCGGCCGTGTAGCTAATTCAAATTAATTGCTTTTACTGGATTGACTGGAAGCTAAAATTAAAGTTTAAGAGGAGTGTGGAGTTGATATAATTTTTTGGTGTCCAAGGCTTCTTCCTGCAAGTCCCATTTAGGCAGACAGTGTGATAGTCTGTTGTCATTGGTACTGCAGGTAGCTCTTGATCCTGTTAGGTAGAGGAAGATGGGAAAGAAGGTGGAGTCTGTCGCGTCCAACGCAGTTTCTGATGCACTGACGACACAACTGGCTAAGCAACCGTGGCGTAGCTATGAAAAGGAGACAGGAAAACATTATTTATCACTGTTAATTGGTGGTTAAAAAAAAGACAGAAACAGATCAAAGCTAGGTCAGGAAGAGATCAATGATTGCGAACGAAACTAAGCAAAAAGTAAACGCATACCTTCATAAAGCAGTAGAAAGCCTTCTGTAAGACTGCTGGGTGGAGCCACATCCACTGGCCTCTGAAACTCTGTGTTCCTGGCATTAATGTCTGCGCCAAAGTCCAGCAGCAACTTCACTACAGCTGTGCAGTCTTTTTCTGCAGCTGCATGTAAAGGTGAATCCAGGGATTTACCTTTCTGTACATTTGCACCTACATGGAGGAGACTATAATTATCCATAGTCCAATCAGAAAACTCCAATATCAGATGCCTGTATTGTTAAGTACAAGTAGCTTTGGTTAATTTGCGATTATATTTTTAATTTACCTTTTCTTTACTTGCCTAAATTAGTACCTTATTTCAAAGACTGCAGGGAGACACAAATGGGCACACTAATCACTTGTATATGTAATCAGTCACTTGTTGGGTATAAATGTGGTCCCACTTCTTATTGAAATTGCAATGTGTGCTTTGCTTGTATTAAGTTCTTGTTTACTAAGGCTGCTGCTAATAAAACAATTAGTTTGTCTGTTTCTTATGTGATAGAGCTCTCATTAGCTCTTTGTTACACCTTTTGCACTTGACAATTTGCAGTCTCATTGTTTGTCATATTCCTAGCACAGAATTTATCATATTGTTGTTTAAATGTTTTTATTCCCCCCTCCAGAGGCCTCTAAAATCCTCTGAGCATGCATATATTTATTATATATCAGTTTGTTTTTGTCCTTCTAATCTTTGCGCTTAAGTCCATATGTTCACATAGGACTTTTCTGTAAACATCGACACAGTTCTGCGAACTGACCTTCCCTCAGGAGTTTCCTGGCACATTCGAGCTCTTGGCAGACGCAGGCTGTATATAGTGCTGTGCCCAGGTGAGGAATGTCCATGTCCACATCTGCCCCCCAAGTCACCAGAGCCTCTACACAACCGTAATGACCTGGAAGTAATGAAGCGTGAAGTCAGTAATCAGTAAGTGACAATGCAAAATAATTCTCCAAGCTGTCTGCTCAGGCCCTGTTGGATTTATAGCTAAAGCTGTTTATCATAGTGCGAGTAGGAACGTGCTTATAGCACAGTAAAGGACACAAAATCAGGTCGAACGTCAAGCGTAATCTGCAGTGAGGGGAACTGCGATAATGTTGGGTTATTTTCTGCTTATAGTGCTCTGATTATACCGTTAGTCAAAAATAATGACTCTCATCAGCAAAAGCCGGCTCTCACAAGCTTAAGTCTCTTAGGACCGGTCCTCTAACACTGGCTCACTTTGAAGTAAATGGTCCATGTAGAATAGTCTCTTTTTGCAAGGGGATATCTTTCCATTGTGTTTCCCACACAGTATGACACGCATAATCGTGTAACACTTGAATCACAAAAAATACAGAAAATAATCAGAGTTGATGAATTTTTGTAAAATCGTTGGTCATGACATACCTTTGCTGGTTGCTTCGTGTATCGGAGAAGGTTGATATACAAGACTCTGGGGTTTTGCTCCATTTTCCAGAAGGATTTCCGTGCATGCCACACTGCCCACTGTACAGGCATTGAACAGAGCGGTGACTCCATCAATTGTAGAAGCATTGACCTGTGAACACATTTTCCTTTTATTCTTATTTTTAGGCCTTATTTAATCATGCAAGTTGACTAATAGTAACAGCCTGGGGCTACGGTTGAAAGGGAACAACAACAACAACTTAATAGCTCTGCAGCGACTGAAACAGGACATTGCTCATTTGTTACCCTTACCCAGATTTTCCCAGCCATGGAAATTTAATTTGACCTGTGCAACATGGCAACATTAAAGAGTCACCAGGCCACTATAGGACTTACATTTGCTCCTGCATCAATGAGTGCTCTGGCACAGGCAACATGGTCTCCAAGACAGGCCTCATGCAGGGGTGTTACATGGTCTATAGTCAGAACATTTACATTGTGACCCTGGAAACAGAATCAAATAGCCACAAATATTTAGCCGGCATGGATATTTATGGGACATTAACTCATAAATGAACAAGAACATTAATAAAGTTTATCTCCTCTTACAAAACACAGACATTCTCTTCAGTCAGGGTCCTTAGCGATTTTTCAAACTGTGATGATTTCAACAGCAGAGATTAACAAGCCTGCTAATTAAACTGTAGATCCAACTGAAAGCCAGTAAAGAGCTAATAAATTACCATCTGAAATCCTGTAATAATTGTCATTGTTATGAATTTGTCTGACTAGAGCAAAGCATTGTTTCCTCTGTAGCTGAAGTCACAGGCTTTTTTGTAGCACACTCTGTGAGCAGCTGGAAATGCAAGTGGAGATTTCACTTTTAATGCATTTGTATTAGTATTGTACTTGTTTTTGTTTATGATTATTCTTTCCTTAGCATATGCTCAAATAATAGTTGCATGGTTAAACTCCCCTCACACACTATACATAAGGGGCATGTATATGCCATAAAAACTACAAAAATCACATTAATTTTAAAACCATGTGGTTATTGTAACCCATAGTACACTTTTGAGTATTTACATTTTGTGTTGTTGGCATTTAGCTAGCCTGTATATTGAAACTTATGAACTGTTGTTAAGTATGTGCAGGTTTAAAGTGTCAGATAGGGCAGTAAATAGAAAGTACAATCTCTTACAATTCCAGGGGTTTGGGTCATGAATTAAAAAGAAAATCTTTGGGTAAATAAGGCCTTTGAACTACTGTAAAATACATGATATATCATACCACGCCATTGTTTATTTTCCTAGAACAGGGGTAGGCAACTCCAGGCCTCGAGTGCCGGTGTCCTGGAGGTTTTAGATGTGTCCATGATCCATCACAGCTGATTTAAAGGGCTAAATGACTCCTCAGCATTTCTTGAAGTTCTCCAGAGGCCTGGTAATGAACTAATCATTTGATTCAGGTGTGTTAACCCAGAGTGTGGTCTAAAACCTGCACTATGTGAAAAATTAAGTACACTCTATGATTCAATAGCTTGTAGAACAAACTTTACTCTGACATTGTTCTTTAAAACAGGGTTTGTGGGGATTTATCCACAGCTTCCTCAAGGTCTCACCACAGCATTTTAGCTAAGAGGTTGATCTGGACTTTCACTGTCCCACTGCAACACCTTGGGTCTTTTCTTTTTCAGCCATTCTGTTGTAGGTTTGCTCTTGTGGTGATGTTCTAGTCTGTGACCAAATTTCAGCTAAGCTTTAACAGATAGCCTCATCTTTAAACGTAGAATGGTGTTGAACGGTGTTCATGGGGCCCAGGATGTAACTCAAATCATCACCCCTCCACCACTGAGCTTGACAGTTACTATGAACAATTACTGTCACTATGAAGTGACTGTGCTGATATGTTGTGTTTCTGTTTTGCCACACATGGCACTGTGAATAATGGCCAAACATCTCCACTTCCAGGTTCCAGGTGCTGCCATGTTCATTTTAGAGAGAACAGGCTTTCTACTGGCAACCCTTCCAAACAAACCATATTAGTTCAGTCTTTTCCTAATTGTACTATAATGAGATGTAGCTTTTGGGTTTTTGGCAGTGTCTCTGGGCATTGCAGAGATGAATTTTGGCAACTGTCTTAAATGTTTTCCACTTGTGAATAATCTTTCTCACTGTAGAATGATTTGGTCTTCCCAAACAGATCAGCAGCAACAATTGCTTCTTTAAGATAATCGCCTAGTTTTTCCTTATTCGTTGGCAATGTGCTAAACATTGACACGCACCTGCACGCTCCAGACCAGCAAAGTGCCAAAATGTCTGCTCTTACATCGGTGGTTACACTTGCTGATGATCAGTTACTCAGATGCTTTTACCCTAATGCATTTAGTGTGTACATAATTGTTTCTGCACTTTGGCTCAATTTTTTTATCATGAAAATAATGACAGAGTGTGTAGTACGTCGTGTTTTTTAATTCATTTTAGGTGGTATTTACAAAATTTGTGGAGCTGTTCAGAACCATGCATCCATTTTTATCGGCTTATTTAGTTCAGGGTCGTGATGGGGCTGGAGATAATCCCACTGGTCTTAAGCTTGAAGGGTAAAATGGGACAGGTGACCAGTCTGTATCAGGGCTCACCCAGTGAGACAGACAAACACTCATGCTCACATCCACACTTATAGCCAATTTAGAATTAC